TGCTGCCGCAAGGTCGCGTGGTGAGGCCTTTGCTTTTCTGCAGCTGAACGTGACGCTGCGTTTGATACTTGTGTACCTTCTTAGCTAGGAACGTTTTGTCCTGCTTTGATATCCTGGCAGTATATGAAATGGCATACTGCTCCTTGCTGCGTTTTCGCGCTGTGGCGGTTCCTGGGAGACCCAGGCAGGTACGTGGGTAGCAGGGCCCAAACGCGTCGCGGCATGGTCCAGCCGAGAGCGAGCGCACTGATGAGAGCGCCTGGAAGCGCTGTGGCCTGGTGTAGTAGGCGTCAGTCCCACTACCCGTGCTTCTAACTATTGCTGGGCGGGGGGGGGGAGCGGACATATTTTTGTTTCATTTTGTATGTTTTTACCCTATTGGTATAAGAAGTCTGAAGGATCCTCTCTGTAGGTCTGGCTAAAAAGCCCAGCTGATCAGCTGCACTCTTCTTTCTGGGCTGAAAACTGAACGCGGCAACTGTACTGCAGTTGCTGAACTGCACTGTTTGAGCTGGTCAGAACTGCCTTTATTCCAAAAGTAGTTCTGAAAACTTATCCCTCCAACTTACTGACCTTTTTGCCCACTGGAAGTGTTACTTTCACGTTTTGTGAAATTAAAAGACATGTAAATAGGGAAACCCTTAAGGTTGTTTTTTCAAATGACTAAATAAAGGTGCGTGAATGCTTGAAAGGTGCAACCTGAATGGTTGAACTGCGTTTGCTGTGTTATGGAAATGTTTTTGGAAAGCAACGCTAGTGGCAAATAGATGCTAAAAGCACGTTTCTTCTTCCAAGTGGTGCAAAGGAGTTCTATTTATTCCTTTTTCAGTTTCTGCCAACTTGTTTTCTACCTGGTTTGAGTATTTCGTGAGGGGACTATTGCTTGTTCTCAGTCCATTGGTTTTCACAGACCTGGGCGTTCTGAAGACAGGCTTTCCCTTTTATGTAAGCATGTTCACTGTTTATCGGAGCTTTTCCTTTCCCTTTGTTTAATTTTATTCATGTTATTTGGCTGTGTAGCAAGAGATTGCTTTTTTCATTTGATGAGCCTGAGCAGGATACTGATGCTATAGGAGGCGATTAATTGGTTCACAGTAAGCTTACTATTACTAGGCATGCTGAGTCACTTCATACCTTTTTAGTTCCAATCCTGCTACTAAACATGGCGTAGCTAGGATTTTACACAGGTTTTTCTGTTGTCTTTTCCAGGTCTTTCTGGATTTAATGTCGTTTGTTTAGGTCTTAACAGTGTGATTTCAGTCTGATAGGTATGGCTGGCCCAGCCCAGCTGTCTAAGTCTGTCTCATTGTTCTGCTTGCTGTCACTGTCTTAGGATGAACAGATAGTACTATGTGTCAAAGAATCCCCTTTTCATTTGGATAAAAGTGAAGTTTCTGTATAATACTAATGACTTCTTGTTGATTGTGTCAGCAGTAGTATGAAATCTACTGTGCCCTGGCTGTAAAGACATAGGGAGAAGCTAGTGCAGGAGAAACTCAAGTCTGTTACATGCTTGACTCGTTCATCCTAGTTCTATTTATCCATCTAGGTGCTGCAGTACCGGACCTGGTGTCGAGAGTTGGAGCAGCGACTGGAAGCAGGAGAGGTGAGTATGTGGGCTGCTAACTAAAGACAGTGTATGCAGCATTCATTAACATGGATAAAGGATCCTTAACACAGATTAAGGATCCAAAGCAAAGGCAGAGGAAAATATGATTTTGCTGACCTGAGAATTTAAAGATTTTTATATATTTTTTATATATATATAATATATATAATTTTACACTTCAGTGTTTTGTCCGGTTGCCATTCGCAGAGCAGCCAGTAATCCCAGAAATGCCAGTCCAGAAAACTATCCAGAAGGATCTTAATTTTGTGAAGGCATGCTTGAGTGCTAAAGTAATATTTGTATTTAGTTTCAGTGAAGGGGTTTACTGCCTATTCAATTACAGCCGTTTCTGAAAAAGAATCAGTTGCCACATAGCATCTTGGAAGGGAAGAATGGTGGCGTTCAATATACAGGGCTGGCTCTGTGCTTTTTCTTCTCCTTCATGGCTAAAAGAAACCTAGGGGACAAAGAGTAGGAGAATATGTATTCCCAAGCTTTAAGTGAGCACTCATGGTCATGAGCTGAGGATGGCTAGCTGTGAGAGTGCAGCAATGGGAACCTGAGGAATGCTGTTCACGTTGAATAACATCCTCTGCTTCCCTTCCTCTCTGTAGTCATCACATGCCTGAAAGAAGCCATAAGCTCCTAAGGTACCAAACAAATGGAAGGGAAAGCACAAGTGAACGAGACACAGGAATTTGACTAAACGTTTCCTTTCTTGTTCAGGGACCCCTTCCAGACAGGTGGGAAGCCACAGAAGACAACAGCCTGGAGAAAGCACTGTTCCAGTTGGAAGAGGAGCAGCAAAGGTAAAAAGAAGCAGCAACACCTCATATTTGGTATCCTGGATACTCATCGAAGTGAGAGAAAACCCATCAGTGCTACCTAGTCTCCCCAAAGGAAACAGTTGGGCAGGCAATTTTGAAAGGAGAAAAGTCCAAAGTCCATTCTGTGGTGCAATAATAGTGTTGTGTGCTGACTGGCTCTGTTTTGAGCGGGCAGTTGGTGACTTCCAGAGGTCCCTTTCCAGCCTAAATTATTCTGTAATAACCTCTATAATTCTAGGGGTGAGCAACTCAGCAGAGCCCTGTTTTAGATTGGCAGTCAAGCCCTAACATTCTGAGCATTTCACGGAGCAGGTGTTTTCTTGTTTTGTTTAGAATTTTATTTTATCTGAATAGATATCCTGTACTTGTATGAGAGTCTTCTGATAGAGTGGTTGGCACTGCAGGCATCCTTTGTCACAGTTCCTTTTTCTGTTGTTCTTTTTTCCTCTGCCGAAAAGGAAGATTGTGCGTGGTATAAAACAGATCTGTATGCTGTGCTGCATGTGCTGTAAGCTAAGGCAGGGGAAGCACAGCTCCTGTTTTGATCCAGGAACAGTGAGTTTTGTGCTTGTTCACAGGACAGCAGTTGTTAACATTTTGTTCGTGAAGGATTTCTCGGATGGGATATTAGGCTGAGGCCCCAAAGACATTAATCTGCAGTGCTCGACCTTTACGTTCATTACAGTGAATGCGTTTAAAGGCTGCAAATGACCAGCACTTGCACTTTGGGAATCCTGTGAAAGTTCGTTCCAATCTTCAATTGAAAGTTCTACAGAGAGCGGTTTTCTCTACCTGTGCAATTCTCCCTTTGTGGTGTGCAGTTCACTGGATCAACAAAGTATGGTTTTTGCTTCAGATCTTACACAGTGTATGCGACAAGGATAGGGAGAGGCTTAAAAAGAAGGTGATGGCAGAGGTAGATGACAAGGGAAAAGGATGCTGAAACTTAGAGATAAAAGTGGAGGAGGAGATGGTTAGGACAATGTTAGAGAAAGATGATACATCAGGATTTTGTAACAAGAAGAAAAGAAAACGGAATGGTGATCAGACAGAGCGAAGAGGAGTCAAAAAGTTACCTGTGGGCATCATCAAAGTTGAAGGGGAAACTGAAGTTGTAGGTGGAAATTGAAGTTTTAGAGCAAAGAGAAGGAAGGAGGGATTTGCAGAAGCAGAGATATCGTTATTATTCCTGGAAAGCACTTTGACCACCTCTCTGCTTGAGGAAATAGTTAGGAGGGATTTGGAAAGGCAGAGATGCTGCATGTGCCTGGTAGTTGTTCAGTGTGCTCGTTGCTGTTTCTCTCTTTCCAAGGTGTGAAAATCTGGCTGAAGTGAACACCCTCTTGCGGGAGCATCTAGATAAAGCAAATGAGGTGAATTCAGCTCTTAAAGAAGATATTGGAAAACTGACAGCGGATTGGATGAGGGCCAGGGAGGAGCTGGAATTGAAGGAGAATGAATGGCGCAGTGAACGTGAGGTAAGGGTAGGCTAAAGGAATGTCAAATGTGATGCCAGACAGGAATGAGAATACAATTTATTCCTAGCATAGAGAGCTTCCTGTGTGAAAGTTGTTGCTGCATTGAGGATGTGTTGGTGTTGGCTAGTGGAACACAGGGGTGTGAGATGGAGGGGTGTCAGCAAATTGTAGTAATCAAAGAGGCCCATCTGCTGCTACCATGCAGCTGAGTCCTAAAGACAAGTGCTTATTGTTTCTGGACACTGTAGAGCAGTCATTGCACATGAACTCTCCTTTATTTATTTACTTTTATTTATTTATTTTTATTAGTTCTTAAATCTCTGTCTGCAACAGTAAAATCCAGAGAGGTCTGTGTATTTTCAGATTCAGAGTAGCCCACAGCAGAACAAGCAGGCATCCCTTACTAGCAGCCTATTGCAAGCAGGTCCCACACTGGTCTTGTTTTTGTCTTCCTCCAGCAAGACTGTTAGACATCTCTGCAAGGTGAGGTGAGGAGTCATGATGAGTTTGCTGTGTTGATATCCACTAAAGCAGGAGAAATGTGGATGCTCCCTTCTTTGAAGTTAGGTGACAAGTCTACTGAGGATGCTTATGTTGTGCCTATTCAGTCCTTGATGCCCCCGTTGGAACTATTCTTAAAGGAGATCTGGTGATAAGGGATGTACTCTCTCATATCTGGAAGACTTGCACAGTGAGAGTGAAGGCTGAATTGACATTTGTTTTTTCTCTCTGCTTTTTTAGTTTTATGACAGCTACTTAAGAGGTGAACACAACCGTCTTCTCAGCCTATGGCGCCAGGTGGTGACCTTCCGCCGTCATTTCCTAGAAATGAAGACAGCCACTGACAGGTGAGTTGAAGTTAGATCTCTTGAAGAAAAAATGTAGTTTCCCTCCACACCTGCTTTATGAGCCTTGATGTTACTCTAGTTAGAGCTAAAGATAGGGTTTCCCTTTTGGTAACCTGAAGTAAAGCAATTAAGCATGTTATAGACTGTTTTCAGAAGCATGTTGTCTGATGCTGGATTTCAAATTAAACTGAGAGACTTGGGCCTCTGCATTCCTTATAGCCCTAAATGGGTGATCTTGACTGTGTTTATATTTGGGCATATCAACACAGACGCAGGCGTATATAGACTCACTGGAAGGGAATGGACTCATCAAGGCCTACTGTGTGCAGCATGCAATGCGATCCCTTTTATAAAATGGTTAAAACTTATCTTAAATCTCACTGGGTTTCTTGTTCCACTGCTTCTGATGGAAATACCATTCATGATTATATTTTTTTTTTTCTTCTCATTTCCAGCTTGCATTTCTTCTGGTTGGTGGATATAAATCCACTTATTCCTATGTCAACATTATCAAGAGGAAAAAATAGCTTCTATACCCTGTTATTGCATTTATCCAGTTTACAGTGCTTAGTTTGGTGCCTCCTTTTATTACAGTTTTCTTCCTTCTCATGTTCTCTGAGGTTCCTTGGCAGTGCTTTGTCATGGTTGCCTTCTATGCAAATGATAATTGTGTAGCCTTAATGCTTCATGCAGTTTCAAACTGTGGGTTACTTTCATCCTTTTGTCTTACTTGATTATAAGCTTTCTTTAATGTGCAGCGTATGTCTGACCTACTCGTTAATTCTTGCATAATTTGTGCTTTTCTGTTGCAGCATTCTAGGATTAGGCTTCTTGCACCATCTTTCTGAAATGCTTATTATGTGGATATTTTCATGAGCCTGTTAGCAGTCCAGGTGGTCATACTGATAGGTCACTTAAGGCTGATACCCTGGCTATAAAGGCTGGGGACCTTGAAAAAATTCCTTACATCTATTAATGATGGTAGTGATTAAAGTATATTAATAATATGCAACAAGATAAGCAATTAATAGGAGTAGTTAGAAGTCCTCGAAGCCTTCTGGTTATACCATACCCTACTTCATGTCTCTGGGGAGAAAATGGACTCGTTCCTCAACTATCAAGATGCGTCCTGATCCTGAAGAGTCAGATGAATGATTCCTCCCGACAGAAGGTGTAATCTTTCCTGTCAGCTTGTGCTGTTGCCCAGTTATGCACTGCAGAAGTGAACTGGCTGCTAAAATGGTGGTGTGAGCGTTAGCTCTTCTATTTATTCTTTCTCAGAGATTTGTCAGAATTGAAGGCAGAGCAAATGAGGCTTTCTGGATCTATACTTGTCAGCTGCTTCCGGTTAAATTCTGGTGTACAGCTCTGGGAGTCCCTCACTTTGGGAAGACCTGTCTTAAAGGATCAGGCACAGAAAGAGGTGGAAAAAGAAATAAACCAGAAGACCTGGGAAGTGATGAGCTTTGAAGTTAAGGGGGACCTTGAGAAGAAAGAGCTTCAAGATCGGTAAATATGTTTTAAATTTTGCTATTACCATTACTATCTTTTTTGACTGCTTCTTGGATTCATAGATGGGCTGTGTTCATGTCCAAAACATACCCATTCTCTACAGCCTTGCTTCCGTCCATTGTCCAACTATTGCCTTTAAGAGAAAAGAATGGGAAAGAGGTCTGACTAACAGAAATTCTTCTGAGTCGGATAAGACTGGAATAAAGATTGCATATTATAATGTATTTGCAGTTCACTAACTCGTGGTAAAAAATTCAGACTAGTTCAAACGGAGTTCTGTTTCTTGTACAGCCCTCTTGCTATCCAAGACTGCGCCAAAGGAGCTAGGAGGAGTTCACATAGGACCATCATATGCTGTGTAGCACCTCTGTACTGACTTTTCCTTGCAAGATTGACTACTGAAGTCTTTTGGGGGCAAGAAGTGCCTTTTTGCAATACGTAGCATATTAACCTGTAGAGATTAAAACTGCTTTTGCTGTATTTTCTGGGTTGATCTTTCTCTGCTATGCCTCTGGGAGCTGCTTTGTCCTTCAACAGCTGGTGGTGTGCAAAGCTTTTGGAATGGCATGTGGACCTTCTCTTCTCAGGGTGATGGAGCTCTCAGCCTTGCTTGTACAGTCTCAGAAGCAGAATGAGGAGAAGGAGAAGACCATGAAGACACTTAACGACACTGTGGAGATTCTAGTATGTTTTACGCTTATCTGGGAGACAGCGCAGTGTCTGCTTGGTCCGAGTGGTTTGTTCTCCAGCCTTAGCACAGAGCGTGGCTTCCTTGAGAGAAACAGTGATAAAAATGCTAACCGTATGAAAACATGAAGCATGTTGCCAAAATGTTTGTTGTGTGTTTGGCAAATCTGGAACCAGTTCAGGTGCAGGCAAGGGCAGGGGAGGTGCAGACAGTTCAGGTGTCTTCCTCAGAGGGTTTATATCAAAGCTGTTTTGCCTCTGCCTCTAAGTCTCTAGTGACTGAACTTGAGAACTTGGAACTGAGTTTCTTAACAGTGTGTAAAAACTAGTTGCTGGTGTTTCTTTTTTCAGTTTTAGCAAAGAATTGAATAGATTTAGAAAGTAATTTGCTGGAATTACTAGGACTCGGATTTATCAGCATGACAGTGCTACTGAAGTTAGGAATGTTACGGAGGGAGTGTCTCATCCCTATCCCTCCTTCCTTTATTCTGTTCTCAGGAAGCAAGTCGGTTGGAGGTAGAATATGAAGCTTCATTGACTAAAAATGCCAAAGAAGAGAATCTTTCCCTTCAAAAGTTGATAAAAGGTATATTTGAGGTGAGTACAGAGTTGGCACCACATCCCTGTAAATTTGGTTAAAAAATTCCTGGTGAAGGGAATAGAAAAGCACATGGAAAAGACATGCATGTTGTAAGGCCAGAAATCTGGCCAGAAAAAAAACATTAAAATTGCGGTTACTTTTTTATTTAACAATATTACCGATTACATTATTACCAATTAACAATATTATATTTATCTATACCTGGGTTTATGTCATCACTGTGATTTCTTATATTTCAGCCTACCTCTAAAAATTATCGTAGGATTTCCCCTATATCTTTCATGCATCATATTATTTTTATATTCAAAAGCCAATGATAGCTATCTACTTTCCTTTTTTAACACTTGCTAGTTTTTTGACATTGTCTTCAGTTCACCTTCAACTAGGATAGGCTTTTATCAAAAATTGTCCTCTTTGTTGATTTATATAGTTGCGGGTTTCGTCTGAATTTTCTATTTTGATTCAGCAACCCTTTTATTTTTTATCCACTGTTTCATGCAGACCCACCCTCTGGGCCATGGCTTTTCCAGGAGACCTTTGGATGTCTTTCCCTGATTCAAGGAACAGACAGATACTGGCCTTGAAACAGACCCCTTTTGGGGTTTATTTTCCAACCAGTCTGCATTCCTGTTGTCTTTGAGATCCTGTCACAGGGTCAGCTATTTAAGCTGCTCTACTGGAATTCAGTTACTACTGGCTGTTTAATTTTTATACTGCTTTTTTTCCACGTAAAACCTGCTATAACTTCAGAGTTGGCTGTCCTGTGGCTCTTCAAATGAGCCTCTAGACATTTCACTGCCTTTGCCTTCGCTCTGCTGCTCAGGTCTTCTCTTGGTCTGTGCTTTCTGAATGGCTGCTTAATGTTTCTGTTCCAGTGTTGCTTGGAGGCTTCCCAAACCCTCCTTGAGCAATGACTGTTCTCTGGATTTTTATTAAAGGTCACTTACTCCATCAATGCGCTTGCCAGCTCTGCTGCTTCCCTCTGCACTCATTGCCCATTATATCACCAGAACCTTAACTGTGATTTACCCCTAAACTGCACTCTGTGCACAGGCGGTTTTGCTCATCCAGTCTTTTACGCAGCCTCTCACAAAATCGGTTCTTTGTCTTTATTTAGTCATTTTTATCCTTTTGTGCTACTGCTTGGAGTAATTATGAACATTTGCTATTTCATTACTGTTTTCCAGTAATCATGAGCTGCCTTTTTCCTTGGGCAGCGTTAACATTTCTTTTCATTGATGTTTTTGATGTGATCTGGTGCTGGTGTATGTGGCTCTAATAAGAGGAAGGAGACCAAAATCATTTCAGAGAGCTTCAAGAAACAGCGTTCAAGCAGCCTCCAGCCACTTCACATTTGTTTCTGCTCTCCTTGTTTATAGCAGCTGTATTCAGAAATCCCTGGAGCACTTGCGGCCACTGGGACAAAACTTCATTTAGCGAAGAAATGAGTGAATTGAGTCTTTAATGACTCTAGGGTGAAGCTGGGGAAGAAGGACAACGAGATAAAGAAAACTGAGTAATATAAGTGAAGAATAACAGCTTGATGTGGGCTTTCAGGTGGTGTTAGATGACAGTGACAGTACAGTGAGCAATGTCTGCACTGACAGTTCTCAGCATCCGGAGTCTAGCAACATCCTCTCTTACCTGAGCTCCAGCAATACAGAGCATGCCCTTGTATTGGTGCAGGAAGTGCTGGCAAGGAGGCAAAGAGCAACGCAGGTGAGAATTTCTGGGTATCTTCACCACCAGCCACAGTCTTAGCAGCTAATGCCTCACCTAGCTTCAGATCTTTTCATTTACTCACCCAGTTTCCTTATAGCTGTCCTATTCTTGCTACCTCATTGCCTTGCCAGTCTCACCAGCTCTGTGCTCCATGGCTTTTTTCTCCTGATCTCCACCCCCTCATCACAGTTTTTGCTTTCAGGTGAGCTGTCTCTCTGCTTGCCTCCCCTCCAGACTACTACATCTGGAGCCATCTTCCCTGCTCATTATTGCCTGTTTGTGCTGTTTCCTTCCCTGCTCCTTGCAGGCCCTAAAAGAAGAGCTTTCTGCCAGCCAGGACTCTATCAGTTTCCTGCAGCACCAGCACAGACAGCAGGAAGAGGAGTGCAAGAAGTTGCAGCAAAGACTTGAGCAGCTGGAGGAGGAGTGTAAGTTGACCAGCAGCCAGCGGCAGCACCTCCAGTCTCTGGTAGAGGCACTCAGAAGGTGAGCATTTCTTTCTTCTCCTGCATGCTAGAGGCAATCTGCTTCCAGTTTTGGGAATTCAGAGGTGGGTAGGACAAAGAACTCGCCTGCCCTACAGCATGTGTGCATCTGTTCAGCACTTTGGCACTGTCCTGTCTCTGTTCCTCATGCTCCAGTGTGATCCGAAGGCTGTCTTGGAGATTTAGAGTAGTGTTGGAGTACAAGATGCCTCCCTCTCGATGCACCACTTCTCTGGACTCTGCTCTTCGGGTGTCTTGTGCATAATCTCATTGGACAATGGCCTTTTTTAGCCACTGCTTCCCATTGAATGAAGACAACAGTCTGCCTCACTTTCTCTCTTTTCCTCCTCAGTTACCTTGCGAGGGGAAGAGCAAGTACATCAGTCCCTCCTCACCCTGCTCTCCACAGCTCCATCACAGAGCGATGAATATGTGATCCATGACTATTCAGTCCTTCCCATTCTTGTAATTTGGCCTTGTCTCTGCAGTGACTGTGCAAGCCTAGAGAAAAACAGGGAAGAGCTACAGCAACAGCTCAAAGTAACTGAGCAAGAAGCCTGGCGCCTTCGTCGAAGTAACGCTGAGCTGCAGCTGAAGGAAGATTCTGCCCAAGGAGAAAAGATGGAGCAGCAACAGACAACAGAAAGAGAGCGTCGGGACCGGGAGCTTCTGTGAGCTTTAAAGCTTTCTCTGGGCAGGGGTGGGCATTGTTCAAATTTAGGAGGCCTCTTTACTCGCAGTAAAGGAGCAGATTTTGTCTGTTCATCGCTGTAGTGTAGAAAGACGAGGGAGTATGTGGGCATGTCTGGGCACCTACTGATATATACCGCACAGCTGCCTCCTTATACTTTATTTATGACACTTTTTAAAAAATCATTGTGAATCTGACTAGAGTTGTTGATGTCAGGCGTAAGTTGAAATGAGGTTCACACTGGTTTTAAGGAAAGCCTTTTTAACTCTGAGGACAATCAGGCAGTAGAACAGGTTGCCCAGAGAGGTTGTGCAAGTTCCATTTTTGGAAGTTTGCAAGACCTAACTGGATACAGCCTTGAGCAACTTGGTCTGATCCCGTAGCTGATCCTCCTGCCTGAAGGATCCTTCCAACCTGAATTATGCTATGACTGTTGGTTTGGAAGTTCTCAAACACACACCCTGAAAGACTGCTGGCTCTTTCATCGTTTATTGCTGAAGGCAAGAACAATTTGGGGAATATTAATCTGGACTCAAAAAGTGTATTTTACCCAAAGAAGAACGTTTGGTAAGACTTGTATCCAATGTATCACAAAGGAGGGAGACCAACTAAAGGCCAACTAAAAGGCCAACTAAAGCTGTTAAACTAAGAGTACCCAACCTTTTTGGAAATGTTCTGTGATTTTTTGGAAGGTGATTTTTCCTTTCTTAAGGATGAGTGTTTCACCCACGTCAGTGACAAGGTATGACACCGCTTTAGTCAGGAAATTCTCGCCGTCCATAGGTGCTAAATAGAAAGGTGACGGAAATCATTCAAACTGCCCTATCTGGGACATAATATATACTCCTTCTGGAAATTATAAGGTTTCTGACATTCAAAAAACTGTTTGCCTTTCCTCTTCTCATAGTGAGACGGACTTAGCTGCACTTGAAGCAAAACATTCATTATTACAGAGTGAGTTGGTAGTTGCAAGAGAGGCACTGGAGAAATCCCACCTTCATAGAGATCTGCTGAAGCAAGAGAAACATGAGCTTACAATGGCATTGAAAAAGGTATGGTCACCTTATTCTTAGATTGCACTTGTGGGAGAGGGCATTCTGATAGCAGGACCACCACAGATGCTGTTTCTGGCCATATAGGAGAGGGGAAAATGGGTGTTCTCCTCCTTGGAAAATGCTGTGATTGGACCATACGGGCTCTCTGGGAGAGTTAGTCCCCATGTGCATATTGGGAAGGCTGAACTGGGAGCCTCTGCAGCTCCCAGTCAGATATGTGTCAGATATGTCAGAGACGCAAATGGGATCTGCAGTTGCTTGTTAAAGTCAGTTAAAGTTTGTTTTCTTATTGTTCTTTTGTCTCTTCAGGCAGAGCAGTCAGTAGCAGAGCTGACGGGAGCTCAGAATAAGCTGAGGGCTGAAACAGCTGATCTACATGTTGCAACAGCAAAGATGAGCAGTATTAATGAAGCTCTGGCATTGGATAAAGTGCAGCTGAACAAGCTTGTGTTACAGGTGAGCAGAGTTGCCAAGGATTCTGCCAGGTGCTTGTGTCCAGATGCTGCTCCTTTCCAGACGTTTTACCTTCAGACAGTGTGACTGTCTGAATATGGAGACATGGTTGCTTTTTCTGTCCAAGCCAAACCTGGTACACAGTGCATCTTATTGTATTTTATTTCCTCCATGCTTCTGTGATTGTAGCTGGAACAGGAGAATGAAGTCATGTCAAGTAAAGTGGAAGAGATGGAGAAAGCAAAGATCTCTGTGCAGGAGAAGCTGAACTTGTGTAAAAGGACAAATGAAGAGCTCTGCACAGAGAAAGCCCAACTGGAGCAGCTGCTGAAGAACGCAGAGGACCGACAGGAGGGACTACAGGTAGAACTGAGGATACTGGCAGAGGAAAAGGAAGACACCCAAGAGAAGCTCAATCAGGTGAGAGCAAAAGCCTGATCCTGGGTGGGTATTTGGCTGCTTGGCTCAGTGAAGCCGACTCTGCTGGGTTGTCCAGTGGTCTTGGCAACGAGACGCTTGGTTCTGCTGGAGGTCACAAGGCTCTGCTTATTTCCTTTTGGAAACAGATCACTGGTTAGCAGAGATGCTCTGCAGTTCTGTAAGGGATTGGATTGTCCTCTGCTTTTACAGATTATTTTACCCACCCGTCTGCTTTGGCTGGTTCTTTGGCTTTTGACAAGCTGCAGAGAGCTTGTTTTTTGTTGTCTGTGAATCCTGAGCAAGGCTACTGCTGTCATCTGTGGCAAAAGAAGCAAACAGTATAGCCCTTCATTCTTTTCCTGAAGGGAGGAGAAAAATATGAGTTTGTATGTTTCCATTTGTGCTCTTTGCTGTGAAGTCTGCAACTCACAGAACTGCATTTGCTCTAGGCTTAATATGGGTCGCGGAACACATCTGCCAGTCGATTTCTGCTGATGGGAATGCCATCTTGTGCTTGCTGTCGAAATTGTATTTTAAGACAAAAATGAAACTTTGAATTGCTAGAGCCTCTTTAGGCTTTGAGGAAGAAGATGAGAAATAGGTGATCAGACCAGATTGCTTACACTGGACTAACTGATTTTTCACTATACCGTAAAAACAGCTTGTGAAGATTATATCTCTGGACCAAACTAGGGAGTTTGTCGTCATTGAAATGACTGTTTCATAATGTACAATGTTGGATATTATGGCATAACTTTGAGAGGAGAGTTGTTTGTTTCTCACAATGTGTTCTCTCTTGGGTAGTTTTAGTTCTTAGGTATGGGGTATGTTGTTTGCCAAATGTACAGCAGAGGTGTTATGCTGAAGAAAAACACTAAAAAGTCATGGTTAATCTCCAGGCTTGAATGTCAGGAAGGTATATTAGGCAACATAATTGTGTAAGACGAGTAAACAGTACTTTTGACGTGAATTACTGTACAAGTAGAGTCTACCATCTCTGTGACCACATCAGCCTGATTTTCATAAATCACTAAAAGACACTACTTGCCACAAGGGCTGTTTCCCTGCCAAATACCACCTTTTTGCATCCAGCTGCTTTACAGGCTAAAACAAAATGATCAAAGTGTCACCAGCTTTAAAAGGAGAAACCATGTTTATTTTCACTTTTTCAGAGAGCAAAGTTGCTTTTGCCTAAACTTACCTGAAAATTTCCAGTACTGGAATAGATTCTGAGAGAATTTTGGCTTGCAAGGTGGTAGTTCTGGAAAATTCAGGGTTTTTTTGTTTTTGTTTTTTTGGTTTTTTGGCGTGAAAACCACATAGTCTGGGGTATGTACATTTGCCCTGAAGGAGTTGTCTGTTCCTAGCTAACCCGGTATGGCCATGCACATCATTTCCAAATTAACAGTCCCAGTGCCTTTTTGGCAGCCCAGTGTGCTAGTGCTATATAGAGACGTTCTTAGACGTTCAGCCCACAGTACAGAACCTCTTTCTGCTGATTCAAAAGTGACACTGGCTAGTTCTGAACAGAGCTTCAGAGCAATGACTGTAACTGCATTTTCTCCCACTTTCAGATTTGCCACCAGCAAGAGTCAGCTAGCAGTGATTTGGAGCAGTTGCGCCGGGAGTCCTCTCACCAAGCAGATGTTCTGGCCAAGGTGTCCAGAGAGAAAGAAGTCCTGGTGCATGAGAAGGCTGCCCTAGAGGTGCGACTGGCAGCTGTGGAACGAGACAGACAAGGCCTTTCAGAGCAGCTGGCAGAGGCCAGGTAAAGACAGAGAGGAGGCTTTAAAGAGGACATTATTTAAAGTCTGTAATTATAAAGATGGTAGTCACTGCACAACCATTTGCTGCACCCTGTACCTGTACGCTTTTCACAAGGCTTCATCTTCCATGGACAGCAAATTGAAGTTTCTTGAGCAAAATAAATTTTAGCATGATTTGAACGTTGTTTTTCTGACAGCTAAAGCTAACAAAACTGTGATCGACGCCTGTTTGCATGTTACTGAGTGAAGTCCGAAGCACTCCAGTGTGATTCTTCAGTATCTGGTACCTTGGCTGTGCATTGAGTCATAACTGAACCATGCTCTCTGCTTGCATCCAGATGTTTAATGGAGATTGGAACTTCTTTTTGTTTTTTGTTCTGTGCGTTTGAACAGAGATCTTTCCGTATCAGGTAGTTTGACATGGGATCTTTAGGATTCAAGGCTATTGCACAGGACATTGAGTGGGACACTGCCATTTAGGGTGAAGCTAGAGGGTCACGTTGAAGATCTTGAGAATATGTAGTCTTCTGTTTCTAAGGTAACTCTTGTTAGCTGGCGTGCAGGACCTAGAGTTGGTTGTACCAGTAACAGAGAAGCCTTTTCTGAATCCTCACCAGTCTTTGGGAATTCTTATCTATCACTGTTGTGTGGGTCCTTTACTCCTTTATCACATGGCCTGCAGAGGCAAGCATCATGGTGAAGTTATACAGGGAAGGAACAAGATACTATCCTTATGCCGTATTAGATTTCCAAGACGGAATATGAAAAGTTCTGCTTTTCCAGCAAAGAGATATTGAGAGGTTTGTCCTCTGCTCTAGATTGTAAGTTCAGGACTCTTCTAAAAACTAAGATACACAAATGTCATTTTAGGGATTGAGTTTCTGTCATGCTTCTTGACTTCTGCCACTTCACCGCTCCAGAATATGTTGTTAGCAAGGCCGATAAACACTATTTGACTCAATCGGTTACTTTGCTCCAGATTTTCTCAGTGGATCCAGCTAAATTATGTTCTGTCAATTACTGGGCTGTACTGAGCTGGGTTACAGCTTTTATTGCAGGGGTTCACAGCTTTCTTTCCTGGTTCAGCTTCCAGAGAGCGCAGCCAAAGCTGACAGGTGAAAGATGATACATTTAGGCAGCTCTTCACTTTCTTCCCGTGCCTGTAAAACTGATGTGACTTTTCAGGTTTTATCAGAGCACAGGTGAGGCAGGTGAGAACTCTTACTATTTGATCATATATATATATATACAGTATAAAAACTGACGTGATGATAGAGAGACTGGCAATACGTACTTTTCAGAGAAACTTTATTAAAAATTCAGATTTTTTTTAAATCAGTGACAGCATCAGTCAAAAGAAGAGATAAATAGTTATGGAGAATCTGGCATTAAATAAAGCATTGCCCAGAGAAACCAGCAACCACTCTCGCTGGATGTGTGGTTTTTTTTTTTTTCCCAAGACCCCTTTTCTCTCAGAATTTTGAACTCCTTCTCTATTCTGTTTTGGAGACTGACTTCCCTTTAGCCTTAAAATGGAGCACATTTATTTTAGGCTACCAGAGATTGGCATAATCAGAGATGTGGTTTTATTCTGCTTCCTTGAGGATGTATCTTGCCTTGTGCATCTATGTAGTGAAATGCTTCTATTTTGGGTTTTACGGCTGTAACACCTGCATGCCCCTGTACCTTTAATGATGTTATCTTGATTACCTTTCAGTATTAGTGAGGCAGTGCTGCATATTGTAGGAAACTAGCATACAAGAATTTGAATTAGAGAAGGGAGATAAGTTCAGCTCCTGGTTCAAAAATCCTGTGTGTAACATAAACCAGTTGGTAGAAATCTGTGCGTGTAGCAATCCCACATCTGCAGTGAATTGAAACAGCTTCTGTTTTAGAATGACAAATCATTTGGGGGACTGCGTAGTTGGTAAGCAACACTTAAAAGGAGCAGTTTTTTCTCTTGAGCTGCCGACAGTCTCAACTGAGGGTTAGCTGCCTCTTCAAGCAGATAGTTCTTGTGCTAGCAGAATTCTAACAAATGCTTCTAGAAGCATGGGACTGCACATCTGGATTTTGAGGTATTCCTTCAGTACCTTTTAAACTTAGGGAGTTTGAAAAATTGCCAGCATGTGCCTATGCTATAAGCAACATTAAAAAGTCTCTAGTCAGGCCAGGGAAATACTCTTATTTTGTCCCCCTTCAGAGCAAGCCTGAGGTCCTGATAAGATATCAGCTGTGAGCAGAGAATGGGCTTTTGCTTGCTGACACAGGCTGTGTGGACAACAGCTACTTGTGTTTCATAGATTTGACAATAGCAACTTAACATTTGGGCTTTCTGTGTTAAGCGAGGTCATAAGTAAGGCCTGGACATTTCCTAGAGGGGCTTGCATTGCTGTTTTAAATGGTAGAAATATGTTTGTTGTCCATGAGTATCCACCCAGTGCTTTTTCCCTACTCAGTTGTAGGGATCTTGAACAACTTCTCACTGAAATAATTCCCTGTGGGTGTTAATAGCAAGAGACTCATGTCTTTCCATATTTATTACTTGTAGGTCAATGAAGGAGATCTTGGAATCCAGCCTGTTTGAGGCTCAGCAGCACTTGTCTCAGCTGGAGGTCACCAGGAGTCAGATGGAAATCCAACTTCAAACAATCACTCAGGCCAAGGAAGTGATACAAGGTAGGAGCTTCATGCACTTTGGCTCTGGCTCTGGTCATCCCCCTGCCTAGGGTTGATGATATGACAATGGTACTGTCATATCTGTCTGTGGTACTGTGCTTCTGAGGAGTAAGGGAGATGGAGACAGATGCCTTCTGCACCAAAATTCAAATGGCTTAAGGCTAGTAAAACTGGAGCCGCTGTTTGTGTAGGCACAAGAGAGGGACTGAATCTCTTGCCATCTCTCTTGTTTGCAGGGGAAGTGAAATGCCTTCATTGTGAGCTGGAAGCAGAGAGATCTCGAATGAAGCAGGAACGGGAAAACATGGCACAGCAGCTTTTGCGGGCAGAGCAGCAGTATAACAATACTCTCAGGCTTCAGCAAAGTGATCATGAAGTGGAAATAAACAAGATTCTGCAAGACCTGGTAGGAAACGCCATGGCCCCAAGCTGAGGCCATAGGCAATGACTTTGAATTCTTCAGGAAGGTTCACGGGCTGGCTGAATAATAGCACGAGTATGAGAAACAGTAGTACTTATCTGTTATAGGCCACACGTTGCTAGTACCAGCCAGCAGAGCCAGTGTCTCATGTTTGAAGGCATGTGAAGTCCCACGTGATTATGTAGGGACAATAAACACAGCTAGAGGTTCAGTGTGGACCTAAGATGAATTCAACATTTGTGCGTAAAAGGTTGGATGAGCACTGCACAAAGCCTGACAGCAAGGGGGTAGGATCTACCCAGACTCCTGTCCTGCTGAATGCAATTACAGAAACTTTTTTCCTTTCTTTCTGTTCTTTTCTGGTTGGCAGATGTCTTATCTTTGTACTCAAAGTACATGGAGCAGGTTCCTTATTCCTGGTACTTCAGTGTCCGGCCTGTCTTGGGAATAGGGCATCAGGACATAAGCCTGTTCCTTACCGTGCAGTCAATCTGCATCTTTTCTTTGATGAAAATGGAGTTGAGCTTCAAAAATAGTGACTGAGAGTAGAGAAAAATCCTGAGGACAGATGTACTAGCAAACAGGCAGCCATCGGAGAAGGGAAACTAACATCTCTTCCTGTTCCACCTGCTGACCTTCCTTTTATGTTCATTGGTAGGCAGCATTTATGTAGGACACAAGGCCCCTACTGTGTACTGTTCAGGTGGGGGTTTGTGGGAGGGATGATGCTTTATATGTTCATGAGGAAGTTGGCCAGGACTCCATCTTGAAGTCTTTTCCTCCACTCATCAGGCAACTGAGCGGGAAAGGCACCATTCAGAGCTACAGGAGATGCTAGAGCGCTTGGATAAGGAGAAAGCAGAGGCAGAAGGTGAGCATAAGAAGAAGCTGTTGGATATGAGGCAGAAGGTTGCTACCATGCAAGTTCAGCAAGAAGAGGAACGAACTAGAGTTGAAACTGCCAAGAAGGAGGTAAAGAACGTGAACAGAGAATCTGTGTATTACTCTTCTGGGCTCCTTATTGGTGGTGCTTCCCTTGACACTGGCTGTCTGGGTAGAGGTATCTCTTGGATGCCCTTTTGCGTACCGAAATGGAGCCTTAGCAACCAAGATGTGCTATAAAGGACAGTGCTTCTAATGTGAGAGGCATCCAGAGTACAGGATTAAGAAAGGAAGGAAGTGCATTGCAGGCCAGAAGTTATCATGAACATCATAACCGGATATCACAGTGGAGAGCTGAAAGAAGTCACCTGTACAGTGAAATACAGAAAACATGGAGATATGGTAACTGTTGGGTATAGGGCTATGTGGAGCGTACCCTGTGTTTCCCCATTTTCCTCATGTATTTGAGGTGTTTTCTCTATTGAATTTGGTGATGTGAAAGGCATGCAGGGCTGTGTTTGAGAATTTGAATGAGACTGCTCTTCAGAAGCCAGGCAGAAATGTCGCCTTTCATTTTAGATTTTTGTGTTGCTATTGTGTTTGGGTTTTCTAAGGCTTATCTAAGAGTATCTTCATTGTGCTCTTAATGGTCCCTTCTTTTCCCTGAAGTTTACTGATGTGCTTTTATAGCCTTAAATACGTTTATGACCAAATTGAGTCTGTAGAACTGAATCCCCATGAGGATGAGGTTTTTTGTTTTGTTTTGTTTTATGGGGTAAGGGGATATTGACCAAAGAGAAATCTTTCTAAAGACTGCTCTGAAATATTTCTGAGCAGAAAAACGAAGGTGGTCTCTGGGCTGCGTTTGAAGGCACTTGTTTTGTGCTCAGACGTCATTCATCAAAGCAACCTTGTAATACACTGGGAGTCCTCTCTGTGTGCTACCCAAAGTCCTGCTCTTTATTCAGAATATATAGGCACAGCAGTATCCCCAGCTATGTCTGCAGGTACTGGAATGACAGGACCAGCTCTCAGAGATGACAGTGTGTCCCTATGTCAGAACTTTACCAAACTCCACTGAATACCTTAAAATTGAAGTAACGTTTACCAAACCCCATTTAGAATACACAAATTTTCTAAAGGAGCTGCTAGCTTCTCTGCTGCTACCCAGGTGCAAAAGCACCTATTGAAAGACACAGCAGAAGACAGGGAGTAACCTGACCAGCAACATCAGACGTTTGAGAAACGTAACATATTTTCATATTAGATGAAAGACTAAGAGTTTATTGCGGATCCAGTCATAGATGGACCACGTTTATACTGCCAATCTCACTTAAAAATCAGTGCCTCCAAGTGAGCAGATACTGACCTCGGAGACCAGCAGCATATTGCTTTGAAAACGTGTGAGCCTGTCAGCCTTTGACCCTTGCCATGCAAATTTCATCTGTGACATTTAAATGCGTCTTCTCTCCTTTATTTCTGTGCAGATCCTGCTAGAAAAGGAGAGCGAGAAGAAGGCTTTATTAGAGACACTACTTCAAACTCAGGGAGAACTAACAGAAGCCTGCCAGCAGCTAGAGCAGCTCAGGCAGGATGTGAAAGAGCAGCAAGAGAATGGTCAGGTAAATCTGTCTAGTAGGGTGATTTGAAAAAACAAGCAGTTGGCAATTGGACATAAGCTGAGAGGGGGGCTGATAAAGCCAGACAACAGAGTGGGAGGCAGTAACAACTGAAACAGAAGTCCTGGGACTGGGGAGAGAGGTACTACTGCAGGCACTGAGGCACAGGGCCTGGTAAGCTCCAGAGATAAGTGAAAGGAAAGAAGAGTTACAATGAAAGCAAAGCTGGATAGAAAAGCAGAAAGAAGTGGCTGAATGAAGCCAATTTGGGGACAGAAAGAGGAAAGAGCTGGAGCTGAGAGCTGGCCCCAGTAGCTTACTCTCTATTCTTGGTTACAGACCATCACAGAAAAGCTGCAAGCAGAGCTGCAGGAAGCTCAGAGTAAGATCAAGGCAGTGGAGAACAGGCACAAGGAAGAAATCAAAACCCTCAAAGAGGAAATGAATGTCCTCCTTCAGCAGAGGGATGCTCTACAGAAAAAGGTGACTGAAACAGCAATAGATACTCCAGTCTTCACACCAAGTGGTCCCTGCATGTCTTGCTTCTCCCCTGTGTCACTGCAGAGCAGGCTGAAGGCATAGTCCCTCTGACTTCCATCATACTTTGTCCTCCACCTCTGCTGGTTTGAAGGAGACTTACCTGTCTGCCTGAACCTCAGCTGCTGACCAGACAGCCCTGGGCTAGTCCTTCTGCCTATTATTTTACCAGGAAGTCATCATCAGGGTTTTCTGTTGGTCTGTTGCTGCTAACCTTGATTTTTTTTTAAGGTGGTTTTTCAGATGAACGTGCGGTCCCACTAAAGTTTTTAGACAAGTCAGCTGTATCTAATGTGACTCCGGTGCTCTCATAATACGATGAAGTTTAAATCCGTTCTTTCCCTTTCCTCATAGTATATGACACAGCTGACAGAATAGGTTTAGTCTTTGACTGCTCCGTTATGTTTTATTTCAGGTAGAAGAGTTGAAATCGCAGCTAGCAGTCTCTGAAGAGTCCTGGCAAGTAATTGGCCGTGAAGCTCAGGAGCATCTGCGTGAGGCACAGGAATTGTCAAGGCAGAAGATGCTAGAGGTTGTGCACCTTGAGAAGATCCTGGAGGAGGAGAGAAGACGGTGGGAGGAGGTAGAACATCAAAACAAAGAGCTGCAAGCGTGTCTGCAGTCCTTGGAGGGGGAGAGAAGTCAATGGGAAGAAGTACAGCGTCACAACACAGAATTTCAGGCTTCACTGAAGGCCCTAGAGGGTGAAAGAGCCAGGTAACTGAGACCACGTTATAGACTCTGTTCTATTTTAACAGATTCCTTCTTTTAAGCTTTTGAGTATATAAATGACTCTGGCAGCATTTCCTAAAAAGCAGAGTTCTGAATTATCCATGTAAACTGTTTCATTCTATTGTTTTTGTGTTTTATTCTTTTTTTTTTTTTAACCTTCACTTACAGTTTTTCTGAAGCCAATGGTTTTTAAAGTAGCCCTTTTCTTTAAGGGAGGATTTATCAAATGAAAGAGCTTTTAAATGCAACTTTCAGGGGATTCAAACCTAAAGCACATCAAAGGAGGCAGGATAAACTGCAGTATAATGAGCTAGGTAGATCCATCAGCACTGCCTTGGGTCCAGTGAGCTTTAAACATGTTGGATCTGTATCAATCTTCATTCCTGATTCCTTTGGTCAGAAGCCCCTTTGTCTATTATGTTCTTCTGGTGCATCCTTAAAGTTGAAAGGAACCAGTGGTGGATAGAGCTGTCCTTTGGTATCACATGTATTGCATGCAGAAGGGGACAGGATATGAGATTCAGGTATCACTAAGGCTTTTAAAGTCTTTGTTCTAAGTATGTGAATATGTGTACACCCATATTATGTTATCCATATTGATATTTCCATCTCAAAAAATATTTGGTAGTTAATCAGTAACTCACCTTTTCTCTGTGGAAACGAGCATAGAGGGTGCGTGTATGGTATGGGTATGACTGCTAATCTGGCTTAGGTCTGAACAAAAAGCCTAGTTGTTTAGATAAACCTCAGCAGATAAAGCAATTTTGCTGTTGGTGATGGGAGTCCTGAGGGTTTATTAAATATCATACCAGGTAATAATGAGTTGCATGCTCTTTCTTTTAGGCTGACTCTGTCTCTGGAGAAGAAGGAACTGAGTCTAAGAACTCTAGAAGAAAATAGCCTTGCTCAGCAGAGTGAGGTGTCTAAACTGCTGTCTGCCATTCATCAGGCCCAGCAGCTCCATTCAGACCACAGAAGAGAAATACAAGAGCTCAACAACCAGGTGCCCTATGCACTAGCATCCTCTTCTCCAGGGATGTTGAATACCGCTTTCAACTTGTAGGCAATGGGTTGTTTCCCCTCCCAGCAGTACATACTCCTTCTGGCTTCTGCCCAGAGACTTTGCACGTTGAGGTCAAGGCTGGATCTGCTTTGTTATCCCTATGTTTTCCCCTATTCTTTCATGGTTCAAGGCATTAAATCTCTGAGGAAAAACAGAAGATTCCTTTGGAGCTTCTCAGTACCTCTGTTACAACTATTGTTCCCATATGGTTCTTCCACCCCTGAAGGGCACCTAGCAGTCTGGTGAGACAGAAAAGGTTATTGCACTCTGTAGAAGGCACTTCTATCTCAGCCTGTTCATCTGGCATTCTGGAGATGCACAGTATGGGATGCTAATGGACTCCCCTTTACTTCTACTCTCAGGTGTCTCTGGCAGCCACTGCACCCGTGCTGGGATGCTTGATCTGCCACCTCACTTTATCAACCATCCACCTAAACACAAACACACACAGACAGATCCATTTCTGAGGTTGGAGAGCGTGACAGTTGGGCCATTTATTCAGGCATGGGGAAGCTTTCTTCTGTCCTGTTAGCCTCTAGATGCCTCGTGCTTTGTTTGAATCCTTTGGTTTTTTGCCTTTGTCTCCAGCGTAGTGTTTGCTTGAAGTAGTTTCTGCTTCACTTTTTTTCCCTACTTCCTGCTGTGCCACCTCAGTAATTGCTCTGTTGCTGAGGCTCTGCGCATCTCTGTTGTAGGTTCAGTCACTCCAGGAGATGGTGCTGGAGAAAGAGGCTGGCCTGGCAGCTCGGGAGAAGCAGCTGTTACAAGATCTGGAGCAGTCCCGAGCAGGCGAACGGTGCTTGAGGGAGTCTTTGCGAGTGCTGGAGGCTGAGATGTCTGAACTTCATCTGAGACTTTGTAGCACAGAGAACAGAGCAAAGGCATTGGCTACAGAGTGCCAGCAGGCTAACAGTGCCCACTGTGAAACCCAGGCCCAGCTGGACAAACTGCATTTGGTTCTCTATCATATGCTGTGTGGCAGCGTTGATACAAGCAGAGACTTAGTCACTTGGACTTCAGGCAAGTGTGGGAGGCTGGGTTGAGAAGTCTCTACAGCATGTATAGCAGAGCAGGTGGAGGGAGGGGTGGTTCTTTGTAATCCTGATAGACTCATCCCTTCAATTTAGATTGACACAAGCCTTGAGAAGTCTTGAAAGCCTGTGCAGAGAGAAAAGTCCATGTTTGTATGTGGAGAAATGACCAGCATCAGCATGAAACAGGGCCCACGACATGGAAGTGCATGTGCACCTTCTTTGGGACAATGCTGACATTCGTGGGCGGCAAAATAATGTTAGCCTATAACACATGCCTCACTGTAACATGAGGTGTAGGACAGCCTCTGAGGCACTGCTACCTTCTTCTGTATATAAACGGGCCTCTCTTACTGCAGACCCTCCAATTAAAGCTTGAAACAGAATGGCTTCTTTCTTCAGAACAGGATCATGTCTGGGGCCTAACTGTTTCTCAGGCCAGGGACCTCCCTGTAGAGATCACAGTGGACAGAGTGGCAGCAGCCCTACGAGACCTACACCGGGACCTGAAGCAGACTCAACAAGATTTGGTAATGTGTCTCTGTAGTACAACCAGAAATCCTGCCTCTGCTGAACTGAGCTGACAAGCAGAGTGCCAAAACCAGAATGGGTGTAAACTCTTGCTTTCATGTAGGCCAGGTTTGCTTGCTGCCATGGGGAAAAAGGAGAGTCATGATCACATCTACCATTACCATCCAACTGGCCCCATCCCTGCCTTGGGTGATTTCTGCCTTAGCTTTTGCACCCCTTTGTCTCCTTCCAGCTGTGGCTCTGTTTGATCATACTGCTGCTCTTGCATCCTCCAGAATGATGCCAGGAAGAAGGCACAGGAGCTGGAGCTGGAGCTGAGCAAGAGGCGAGCTGAGCGGGACCATTTCAGTGCCCACAATCAAGAGCTGCAGAAACGACTGGCTCAAAGTCAGGAAGGTACAGCCTCTACTTTCCAATCCACTGAGCCCATCCTGTCTCACCAACAGGGAGCTCTGATACCACGCAGGGGAAAAGTGTAGTGCCAGGAGATAGGAAAAGAAAAAAACAAGGAGTGTGAGGCTTATCACCAGAATTACCAGTATAGGGGAGTGAAAGCTTTTCATAGTGAAGAATCCAGTGGCTGGCAGTTCATCTAGCTGTGCTACTGGTGATACATGTGCAAAGGTGGTGCCTTTCAGGTTATACGTCACAGCAAAGGAGATGTAGCTCGATGCCTCGGAACTTCCTTCTCCATATGGCCCTTGAAAGCCCCAACCTGCAAAAACTTATCTTTGTTGACTGCCTTTTCCTTTTGCATTTGCAGTTTCACAGAGCGCTAGTTCAATGTTAAGTTCCTGTGTTACTGTAATTGCCAATGCATCCTTTTTTCTGCTTCTTGTCTAGTTCTCTGGTATCTATCTAACGCTTCTGCCTTCTCTAACTCCCCTCTGTCTTACACTGATCTGGTGTCAGAGCTCACATTCATAACAAACAATTCCTTACCTCCCTAGCCACATCTTACTTGTTTTTGGTAACATGGTCAGTATGAGTTTGTCTAGAAATTATTTTTCATGTGTGACTAATTACTTCTGTCTTCCTCCAGTCTCCTGGCCTTCTCAGAGCCTCCAGTGTTATTGGCCTCTCTATATCATAGCTGAACATGCATCTCTGTTCCTCTCTATGTCATGGTTCTCCCACACGCCAAATCAGAATTGCTTTTCCATCTCGTTGTCTTATTTTCCGTGTCTCAGATTAGAGGAACAAGAAACTGTTCGTTTCCTCCCCCCACAAGCCACCTTCTGTTCATGTAGTACCTTTAGCTAATCAATATTTCTCTCTTGTTCCTTCTCTGAGATAGAATTACTGCTCATTTTTCAGTCTATTTTGACAGGAAAGTTTTCCAGGCCTTTGATCATCTTTAGTTCTGCAACATCTATAGTGATAATCTGGTAACAGATTATCGCAGAATCACAGAATGGTTGAGGTTGGAAGGGACCTCTGGAGATCATCTAGTCCAACCTCCCTGCTCAGACAGGGTCCTCTAGAGCACATTGCCCAGGATCGTGTCCAGGCAGAGTTTTGAATATCTCCAGGGAAGGAGACTCCACCACCTCTCTGGGCAACCTGTTCCACTGATCAGGCACCCTCACAGTCAAGAAGTTTTTCCTCATGCTCAGATGCAACTTCCTGGGGTTCAGTTTCTGCCCGTTGCCTCTTGTCCTGTCACTGGGCACCATGGAGAAGAGTCCGGCCCCATCCTCTTGACATCCTCCCTTCACATACTTGTACACGTTGATGAGATCGCCTCTCAGTCTTCTCTTCTCCAGATTGAACAGGCCCAGCTCTCGCAGCCTTTCTTCAGAGGAGACATGCTCCAGTCCCCTCATCATCTTTGGAGCCCTCCGCTGGACTCTCTCCAGTAGTGCCATGTCTCTCTTGCCCTGGGGAGCCCAGAATTGGACACACTACTCCAGGGGAGGCCTCACCAGGGCTGAGGAGAGGGAGAAGGGCAGGATCACCTCCCTCGACCTGCTGGCCACACTCTGCCTAATGCACCCCAGGATACCTTTGGCCTTCTTGGCCACAAGGCCACACTGCTGCCTCATGCTTAACTACTTGTCCACCAGGACTCCCAGGTCCTCCTCTGCAGAGTTGCTTTCCAGCAGGTCAACCCCCAGCCTGTGCTGGTGCCTGGGGTTAT